TCTCTTTTGAATAATAATGGATTAATATTTTCTTTCTTCATAAATAATTGTGTTTTTTGAGCATTTAATAAGCACCAGGCATTTGTCCCAAGTACCTTTTTTATTTTTGAGATTATACTATGACTACATCATTCCTCCTTTTCCTTTCCTCCTTCTAAGTCCTCCCATACACCCCTCCTTACTCTCTTTCAAATTCATGGCCTCTTTTCCATTAATTGCTATTACATGCATTTATGTATACACACCATATACATATACATTCCTAATACAACCTGCTCGGTCTTTCCACTGTCACCTATATGTGTGTTTTCGGGGCTGAGAATTTGGTATTGCATAACCCGTCAATGTGCTCTTCCCTGGGGAAGACTATTTCTCCTGCTCTCAGCATTCCTTAATCCTCAGTTGCCTATTGTTCTGTGTTCTGTGCTGAGACTTCATGGGCTGTCCCCATTCACTTTGGCATGTTTATTGGTGTCATGCTTCTTTAGGCAGATATGTTGCTGAGAATTTTTCGTGGCCTGCTGTTGACTATTTTATGTGTTAGGTTCAATTTGTTGTCTATGAAATAATTTGGTGTCTCAGTTTGAGTTTTTATTGCTGTGAAGAGACTCCATAACCATGGCAACTCTAATAAAGTAGAACATTTAATTGAAGGAGCTTGCTAACAGTTTTAGAGGTTCAGACAATTATTGTCATGCAGGGAGCACAGTGGTGAACAGACAGACATGGTGCTGGAGCTGAGACTTCTACATCTTGCAGGCAACAGGAAATCAACTGACTGTCACACTGAGGGAAGCTTGTGCAAAAGAGACCTCAAAGCCTGCCCCCAGAGTGACATACTTCCTCCAACAAGGCTACATATCCTAATAGTGCCACTCCTTTTGGGAGTCATTTTATTTAAAACCAGTACATTTGGCTCATATAAAAACTTATTTAAAAGAAATAGTTCTTTATGCAGGTCTGGGTAAATGGCTTAGTCATTGAGACACTTGCCACATAAAGATGAGGACCTGATTCAGATCCTCAGCACCCGTTTAAAAAAACAAGTCAGGTACTTTGGTATGCATCTGCAGCTCCAGCACTGGGAAGACCAAGACAAGATGGCCACTGGAGCTTGCTGACTGGCCAGCCTATCTGAATCTGAGAGCTCTAGATTCAGTGAGACACTCTGTCTCGAAAAAAAATACTGTGAAAAGCAGTTGGTGAAGATACTTTGTAGGGGTCTGGCCTCTACAAGAACATACATGCATGCATGCACAAAAACATATGCATAATGCATATACATGTGTGTGATTATGTGTGCATATGCATTCATATACTCACAGAAAGTTCTTCATATAAAAATCATACTGAGGGATGAAGAGGTTCAGAGCTTAAGGTTGGTTTCAGCTGTTCTGTAGGACCCAATTTCTGTTTCCAGAACGTATATTGGGTGGCCCACAACTCCCTGTAACTTCAGCTCCAGCACACCAGCACACACGTCTCTTACACACACACACACACACACACACACACACATAAAATAAGTATATGTGTACCACATGGCCTGAACTGTTCTTTATATGCATTTACTGTGTTGAACCAAGGCAAATAAAAGTTTTATCCTTGTAACATTGCCTTCTTTCATTTTTTTCCCTCCTGTCTCCTATAGTCTCTACTTTGTTAGAGTTGGCCATTATTATTAAATGAAATGCATAGAAACTAAAAAGTTCATCTTCTCTTGGCATTTTAAGGTTTCCTCTTGTTTTCAAGGTTTTGTCATTTATTTGTTATTCTGATTTTACATTTTGATTGGACTCAGACATAGATGCTCTCAGCAAGGTCAGCTGACATCTCTTGGAAATCTATTCCTGGCATTTTTCTTTGGTGTCCTTAATACTCTTGGCCAAAAATTTGGCATATTCTGCTGCCTCGTTTTTATTTTTCTTAGTGTATTGTTTCTTTAGAGCAATACAATGGCATTTATGTTGCAGGACATGTGGATTTACAAGATGCTGAATTGGGGTTGCTGTAGGTTTCTTACCTTCTTTGTTTAAGAGCTTTTGGACAACATATAGGTGGTCATTATCTTCTTTAGAGAGACTAGAAAAGTTTATAGATTCTGCTACCTCTTTGGGGGTCCCAATAACATGTGCAGTAGTATCTGTCAGGCCAGGAATATTCTCCCTCTTTGCTCAGATTGGCATCCACAATACATACCAAAACAGACTTAGCTCTCTGTCTCCAGTTCTCCTTGAGCTATAACAAGAATCCCCCTTAGTCAACAGCAGGATCACTCTGCTGTGGGTCCAGACACCCTACTTCAGGGGAAGACCTTGCCTGTTATTCCCATACTGATTAGAACCACGTAACCCTTCCACTCATCACCCAGAACATCAGAAACTACTTCTACAGCCATACACTTTGCGTAAAAAAGTCTGAGTTTGTGTTTATCATCCACCTCAGTGAGTTTCTGACAGCCAGTGGCTAGAAAGGAGATGTTCAGCTTCATTTCGACACAGCTCTGTCTAGGAGACATCATGGAAAAGGAGCCAGAGTACCCTTCTTGGCCTTTCTTGTTTTATGTTCTAATCAAGATCTTGACCTCTGCTTTTAAAATTTTGTTTGAATCTATATTTTCCTGATAATTATTAACTCTCCCATTTAAGACTATTTTCTAAGCCCCTTCCTCCCTCTAGCTCTTGTTCTCTATTTCTTTTTATCAGATTAATCTAATATGAAAGTTGTTCTTTCAATAGTGAGAGAAGCCCTTTACATCATTATAAACTGTACCAGATGCTTTTCCTTTTAGTATTTTGTTTTATGTTTATAGAAATGTGTGGTATGTATAAGTAACATTGTTCTTTGTGTTTCTGTTTTATTTACTTTATTTCTGAACTGTCTTTTGGTGTTGCAGAACATTCACCCATTTGTTCTATCGTTGTTACAGTGTATTGTTCCATATTACATATTCCTTATTTCCCTTACCTATTATCTATGCATTCTCTAGCCTAAATAATAGAAATTTTTAAAACTTCACAATTCTTTTCATATATTCCTCCTTTCCCTCTCATCACTGTCTAATTTGAAGTGAAATTCCTATGTTCCTAGTTTTCCCTTATACATGGGACAACCAGCTCCCTAACTCTGCTTTCTGTAAGCTTTCTCTTTTTGTTACCTGCTTATATTTATATTTCCATAGCAAATAACAACATTGAATGCTGTCCTGTCAGCTTGTCCACATCATTTTGTCTTAGTTCTGCAGTTGGATGTATTTACACATGCGTTATCAGGCTGGGTGTTGGTGGCACATACCTTTAATCCCAGCACTCGGGAGGCAGAGGCAGGCGGATCTCTGTGATTCAAGGCCAGTCTGGTCTACAGATCAAGTTCCTGGACAGGCTCCAAAGCAATACAGAGAAATCCTGTCTTGAAAAACAAAAAACAAAACAAAACAACAAAAACCAAAAATAAATAAATAAACATGTGTTATTAGATTGTATGCCAAATGTTTCTGTGATTCCGGCTTGGTGTCTGCGTTTATATCACAGGAAGAATCCATGGCTGTGGCCTTCCCCAGGTCCATGCTGTCTTTGACCTTTACACTCAAAGTCCTGTGTGGGTGGATTTGTCCTCACAAAGACCATCCCTGCCCCCGCCCCACACCTGCCCTCGGTGATGGTTTTTATTTTCTGTTCATTTTCTATTTCTACTGTCACAAATAAACACTAGTTTAATAACTTACAACTACAGAACATTTATTCCTACAGCCTTGGGGGGGGTGCGGAAGTCTATAATCAAGGTGCTGGAAGGACTATATTCCTCCTGAGGGGCACTGGGGAAATTCCTTTTCTAGCTTTGAGAGTCTGCTTGTATCCCTTGTCCCTTGACCAAAGCTCTAACTGCTGGTTCCACCATCATATCTCTCACTGACCTTTGAACGCCTTGTTTTACTCTCATAAGGACCTTTGTGATTATGCTGAGCTCACTCAGATAGGCAAGAATCACCCCCACCTCAGGGTCCTGCAAAGCTTGTTTAGAAATATAAGGAGAAACATTCATAGGTGTCTAGGATTGGTAGAGGTACATCTTTGTAGGTATTCAACCTACCAGATTTTGTTTTATTCCTAGAAATTTTCACAAACTGACATCGCAGTAAAAAATGTAGGCTTTCTGCGTACTTGTGGGAGAGCTTCCAAACCATCCATTCTGTGCTACAAGTATCCACTCCTAAGTTTGTAAATATTAGTCACAGCTTCACTCCAAAGAGTGAGACTCTTTAGGCTGAGAATTTGAAACTCTTACCTTCTTGGACTGGAGAGATAGCTCAGTGGTTAGGAGTGCTTGTTGCTCTTGCAGAAGACCAGGTTCGATTCCCAGCACCCCATGGCAACATACAACCATCTGTAACCCCATTTTCAGGGAGATGTAATGCCTGCTTCTGACCTCTGAAGGGTCCTGTGTGGTGCACATACACATACCAACAAAAATCCCTTATCTCCCTGGTGATTCTCAAAGCAAAAAATAGCCTAGAGTTTCTACCCATTGAGTGGGGCAACAGGATGGTAAGTGTTAACACAGAGGTGTGGGGTGAAGCTCAGGGCCCTTACTCCTGCCTAAGCCCCTGGTAATACATGCCTTCTTCCCTTCCCAGCACAGCCCCTGAGGGTCTTCCTGCATTTAGTAGTAACCTCTAGTCACTGTCCTCTGTGTCCTGCATGGGAAAGGAGTCTTAACATTCTAGAGTTAGAGGAAATGAATGACAGTAATCTTATCCATGTATGTATCTTAGCGGTCCATTGAGGGCTGTCACAGAAAGAGTCTGCAGAAGAAGGCAACCCCTGACTCCTCTCTGCCAAGTACAAAATGTGCTCTCTCCTCTCTCCAGCTATCTCTAACTCTCAGAATCGCATGTTTTCTCAGCTCAGTGTTCCTTGAGTGATGGGACTATGTTCAAGTCATCCACATTCTAGAGCCTACAGTTGGTCACATCAGTAGAAATTATCCAATAGAACCGGAGGTCAGTGTTTAAGCTTTTATTGATGCATTTAAATGGAATGGACAGACAGCAGAGATAAAACAGCTCTGAAAAGCCCCTGAAAGATGAAGGGAATTCTGTGAAAGAGATGGCCTCTTCTATGTCTTCCTGTTTCTGAGAGTGTCTGCACAGCAAAGCAGGCAAGAGAAGTGAGTTTAGACAAGATAGCTCCCGGTAGAAATGACCACTAAGAAAGAACCAAATGAGAAGAATAATGGCTGTCCATCAGTGTTCCAGGGCAGAGCAGGGCAAGACAGGGCAGGGCAGGGCAGGGCAGGGAGTGAGTCCGGCTGTCTTTTGGTACTGGGCACTGGAGTCAGGGAAAGTCATGGCTGGTTTGTCTTCAAGAATGAATATTGCCCCTTAGCTGTGATTCCTTTCTTCTCCTCCATCTGTGCTGCTTCCTGGCCCTGAGCTGGGGGAGCAAGAGAGTGCAGGCTACCTGGATCCTGGCTACAGATCACTATTTCCCTCGTGTGGTCATTGACCCACTCATCTCTAATCACAGTGGGTACCCTCTCTCCCTGCCCTCCCTTTGGACTTGGGTGACCACTGTTCCAGTCTGGTCTTTCTTTCACAGTGCTTGTCTTAGTCTGGACCTGACCTCCTAGTATTGGCTCTCCTGTCTCATAGTTGCTTACTGGTGTATAGCTTTGCTCCATGCCTGACTGTATCTGAGTCTGTCTCTTTTCTGGATCCCGTACCTGACTTTCAGACTGGCTCCTATCATGCTCCAAAGTCTGTGTCTGGAAGTGTCCTGTCCCTATCTGTCCTGCATGACTGCTGTCTTGCCCATGGATCTCAGTCCTTCTGTTTTGGTCATAGATGGACCCATGTGTCTGGACACTGCTATTTTCTGCCTGCTGACTCCTGCCTTGTTGTGTCATCGTGGTGTGTGTGCATGTTTGTTCCTGGTAGTGTTCTTTAGCAGCCTGGCCTGCCTGGTTCCTATCTTGGCCTTGAGTCTCAGTCTCTGGGTTCTGGTCATAGGTGGATCCCTGTGTCTGGATGCTATCACTTCCTGTCTGCCGCCTCCATCCCTGTTCTACCGTCGGGGTGTGTATCTGAGTATGAGACCCTGCCTGTGTCTGGTAGTGTTGTGTGGCAGCTTGGTCTGCCTGGCTCCTGTCTTGGCTATGGCCACAGGTGGACCCTTGTGTCTGGAAGGCACTTTCTTGGGTCTGAGTTGTGGGTCTAGCTATGGTCTCCTCTTTCTGTTGGCTAATCTGTGACTGCCTCTCTGACCTCCTCTCTCTGGCCCAACTCTGGTCTTCTCTTCTCGGGGTCTGCTCCTCCTGTCCTGTCACTTGTGTTTGCTGGCTTTCTATCTCCTGTCTTTGAGACTCAACCTCCCTGTCATGACTGCTGACCTGTGTAGGATAGCTGTCCTGGCTTTGGGTGTGTGTCCCCACCCTGACCTGTGTTTTAGATGCCTGATCCCTCTGTCCACGGCCACTGTCCTCAAAGCACTGTTCTGCTCCACCCCTTCCTGCTCCAGTGCCCCCTCTCTGGCCTTGTTCCAGCTCTTTCTCGGATCCAGGAGAGCAGCGTTCAGACTTGTCAGACATGCAAGCATCTCTAGAACTCTCACTCAATGTCTTAAAGCAGGCCCGAGCCACTTTAAACACTAAGACTAGGAATTCCTTGAATTCTACAGTCCCTGTGTTATCTTCATCCAGCAGGCGCAGGACTTCATCCACCGTGGAGGGATCATGGGGATTCTGGAGGAGAGATGGGGCCACGTCAGCACTGCTCCTCTAAGGAGAGCAAGGTCAGATCCGTTGCACTCAGCGTCTAGGCTCCCTCACCCCACTGCAGACTGGGGGCTCTCAGACCCACAGCACTACCCACAGTATCACAGTGTAATGCTTCATTGTGTCTTCTGTTGTAGCATCTCTCTTACTCAAGAGTAGGAAGCACCTTTTGTTTTATATATCCTCTATTTCAGATCTGCAGGATGATTGACTGGATAAAGATGTGTTGAAGATGGAGCGCATGTGCTTGTATGCAATGGTCTGGGCTCCTGGCTCCTTCTTGCGGCTGTCCTTGGCACATTGCCCCTGGGGCCAACCCCACTGGAAGCACAGCAGGAACCTGGCCCCATGGGAATCCAGAGACTTCCCATGATGGCCTATCCTAGCAGAACAACAGGCTGCTCTAAGTATGCAGGCACCGTCCCAGTACTTAAGGACTTCATTGTTCCTTCTGCTGTAGATGTTAACCAAAGGTAACAAAGTACATTAGGGCTCTGGTTCTGGTTTGCTGGTTGGGATTGGTCTCTCAGAGTCCCCTGCACTAACAGCTGTTCAGAACTAGTGCTCCAAAATCTCATTTTTGACCTGAAAAGTGAGCTAATATTTCTATTTTTGTTTGTTTTGTTTTTACGTGACAGGGTTTCTCTGTTTTGTTTTGGAGGCTGTCGGACCAGTCCGGCCTCAAACTCACAGAGATCCGCCTGCCTCTGCCTCCCGAGTGCTGGGATTAAAGGCATGTGCCACCACCGCCTGGCTGTGAGCTACTATTTCTAAGCAACTGCTTTGCACAAGGCAGAAACAACCTCTTAACAGATGCTAATAAGCAATCACATTTCAGACTGGTGTAGGAAATGTTACTGTGTCACATTTGAGACACGCCACAAAGTGGCCACTACTTTCCCTTCTAGGCCATTTGAAGAGTTCATTCTTGCCTGAACTGTCCCCTTGGAGTCTCTCATTACATTGTCTTGAAATTAAAATTAATTTAAAGAGAGGATCAGATCCAAGCACCAGCCCTTTCACGAAGGACCGGGATGTGTCACTTGCCATGACCACGTCTTTCCTGTCTGCCTGCACAGCTGCCAACAGAGCTAGCAGACTTGAATTTGACTGGTTGCCCTTTACATTACCCAGGAAAGAGCCCTTGCAGTAAACACGCTGCTTTGGCTATCCTCACCATGTTTCTCCCTCTCATCCCCACATGGCATACCACTATGACATCAGCAAGCTCATGTTCCAGCAGCCTCTTCAGTTCCCCACGAGTGAGCACTTTGCAGCCACCCTCTGACCTGGCATAGCATCCAAAGGCTTCGATGATCCCGTGAATGTTCTGCAGCAACTGAGGCATCTGTGCAGCTAAGCTGGAAGACATGAAAGCCTCTGTATGGGTACCATAGACAACCCTAACCCTAACCCTACCCCTAACCGTAACCCTAATCCTGCTTTTTCCTCACAGTATTCTGTGGCTTAGTCCTTTCTGTCTTCAGCTGTATTTGGGGTCTCTCCACCTTCTTTCATCTTTTCCTCAAAATTTACTTTATGGTGGGAAGGGGGAACTCTCGGGACTTGGAAGGACATTCTTGAGTCAACATTTGATGCCAGGCTTTACCGCCTGCCTGATGTGAACTGGACCAAGATGCTTCGCTTTTCCGAGCCTCAGCTGATTCATTGTGAATGAACTAATACTTAGCACTCACTTCAGAGGGTTATCATAAAGGCTTTAGAAGATAATTCATAAAAGGCACCCTGCTGATGCCTGGTTTATGCTAAGTGGTAGTTATTAAGTATAATCATCATTATTATTACACACATTTACACATATATAATTTGTGTACAGCTATAGACACTGAACTGCTCACAAAGCACTTTCCTGTGTAGCATAGCTTATGCCCCTTATTATTACTACTAGTATTTTCATAGGTGGGGAAAGGGCTCAGAAGAGGTAGATTTGTGAAGGTCACACATTAGTTTCTTTTAACCCATATCCAATTAGTTCTTTAGACTGTACCTTTGGATGGATCCCCCCCGTTTCTAGGATGATAGTGTTCTACTGGGAACGTCAGAAGGCATTAAGTACACACAGGGGTTAGCCCCTCTTTTGGCTTGAAGCTCTCCAGAAGCTCCAAGGGTCCAGCCCTACCCTTTCGACTTCCCTGGAGAAGGGATTCAGGAAGAAGGTAGGATGTATCTTTTGGGGGATAGTAGGGTTGGAGGTGCCTTCCTGGTGCCAGGATGCTGTGCCTTCTGTCCTGGAACCTGTCAGAGAGATCAGCTCTCTGACACATGATCTATCAAGTCTAAAGGGCTGACGACCTGCGATGGACGGTTCCCAGTCAAATTTTTTAAGCAGGTGAAAGTGAAGATGGGTGTGACTGAATGGGCAAGAGGCATAGGTATGTTCAATAGAAGACTTGGGGAGACCAGCAGGAGGACAGCAGCCGAAGATGATAAGGTTGAAGTACAAAGAGAGACGGAAGCTTGAAGTATCTGGAAAACCAGGGAAGGGCCTTGGAGATGAAGAGGAGGATTGTAGGGAGAGAAGGGCATAGTTAGAGAAGCAGGGAGTGAGTGAAGGAAGGAGGTGTGGTTCAGGAAAAAGCATGTGAGTGTGGGTTGTGCAGGGACAACTTTTCTGCTGACTCAGTAACTTAGACTCTTCCTTCTGTATGCTTCAGGGCATGTAACTTCAAATATCTCCTTTGACACAGACGGGAAACACCCCCGTGTTTTAAAAACACATGACAGGCTTTAATCGCTGAATAGCGAATAGTGAAAAGAACAAAATGTCCTTTTAGCAACAATTCAGATTCTTATAATAAATCTACAAATTCATCTTGCCTATGTAAAAATTTAGAGTTAGGAAGGAAGTTCATATTGGCCCCTTCCTCCGTAAGACAACAAGTTTCTTGTCTGGTAGAAACAAACTGATTCTGATTCCACGGGCTCTGAGCACTGCAAAGAACCTTGAAAAACCTTAGGGAAAAAGAGCTGTGCTGATCCAGGAAGGTGCGTGGGCGGTGGGTGGTTCCATTGCTGCTGCCCACACCACCCCATGAGAAGAGCTTCAGGCTAGAGCCAGGGAGAGGAGAAAGCTGGATTGCCTCAGAATGCAGCATTTCCCAAGTGCTCTGGCTTCAGCAAGCCAGAGACTCTGTGGGGCCCTTCCTGCCTCCAGCTCACCACTGAGACCTGACAGCTCAGATCTGACAGCCCTGGATTCATGAGCTCAGCTTGCCAAGACACTGAGAATGAGCAAGAAGTTCTTCTGGGGGGAACTTACCTAATTCCCAGGCAGGATGGGACAAGTTTCTGTCAAGCAGTGTGTAGAGTACTTGTCAGTGGGACAAGAACCTTTTATAGAGGATTTAATGGCACTCGTATGTATTTTAGACAGGATGTCTCCACCCTACAAGAAGGCTTGATTCATCTAAGGCTCAGCCCAGCGCAGCCCCACCTCCTTTCTTCTCCATCTCACCTTCTGACCCAAGGCTGCTTCCCTCTAATTACAGACCCTTTCCACCATGGCTGTTGCTTGCGGTGGCCTTCTTCTTATGGCTAGGAGGCCCTTTCCAAGGACTTGGGCTCAGCAGTACTTTACATAGGCCTGAGATCCTAGGGGATGCTATGCATCTCCAGGAGCCTACAAAGTCATAGAAGTCTTGTTTCTTTATTCAAGCATTCAAGAACATATATGTTTATTGAAGATTATTCTTTTCAACATGCTCCCACACACACACACTTACTGATGCTGCTGCTGTTACTTAGACAAATTCTAAGTTCTTGTTTGGAATTGCCTAGTTTATGAGGCCCTAAACGGTCTTAGTGTGCGTATGCACACATGTATGTACGAATGCATGGAGGCTAGAGGTGAGCCTCAGCTGCCATTCCTCAGGCACCTTCCACACTCCACGTTCTTTTTCTGAGGCAGTCTCTCACTGGCCTGAAACTCTCCCATTAGGCTAGGCTGACTGGCCAGAAAGCTCCACGAATTTGCCTGTCTCTACTTCCCCAGTGCTAGGGTTGCGAGTACACAAAACCACACCCAAGTTTGTTAATCTAGATTCTGGGGGTTGAACTCAGGTCCTGTGCTTTTAAGTTAAATACTTTATAGACTAAGCTATCCCTGTCCCCCCACCCCCACCAGATGTGGTCTCGATTTTATTATTTATTTATTTTACATCCCAACCTCAGTTTATCCTCTTCTCCTCCCAGTCCCTCCCCCCACTTCCCATCTGCTCCCTCCCCATTCAGCTCCTCCTCCATTTTTATTCAGGAAAGGGCAGGCCTCTCCTGGATATCAACAAAGCATGGCATATCATGTTGCAGTAAGACAAAACATCTCCTCTTGTGTTAAGGTTGGGCAAGGCAATCCAGTATGAGGAATAGGGTCCCAAAAGCCAGCAAAAGTGAAGACAGCCCCTGCTACCTTTGTTAGGAGTCCTACAAGAAGACCAAGCTATTCAACTGTCCCATATATGCAGAGGGCCTGGGTCAGTCCCATGCAGGCTCTCTGGCTGTTGTTTCAGCATCTGTGAAATCCTATGAGCCCAGGTTAGTTGATTCTGTGATGTCCTTGGTGGTTTCAATTTTTACTCAAACAACAACAGCAAAATACTTTGTGCTCTGAATAGGTAGCATTTTATAGCTGGTGAGAGAAAGGGATTGACATGATCATTCGTGGTATTTTCACTGAACAGTGAGAACCCAGTGGCCCTGTGGATATGAGAGGCAAGGCCAAAGGAAAGAATCCTTCTTCATAATGACTTGTAGAAACCCCTATCTTCCACATTTCACAGCAGTATCTAACGCGCAAGTATTAGTCATTTCATCCTGAAGAGCAGCTGAGCTGTCACAGTAGCGATACATTCCTTTGGGTCATCTCTTGACATATTTCATAGTCACTGTCTCCAGGCCATAAGAGGAATGCAATTGTCAACTGTGTCTGTGCATGTGCTCATGCTTGCATGTGCATGCATACATACCAGTACACACACACACACACACACACACACACACACACACACACACACACACACAGGCCATTGTAGAGAGTTCAGTGAACTCAGCATCATTTGTTAAGTCAGGTGTCTTTCCCAATGTAGTTATCAACTGCATCACCTGTCAGATCACTGTTGGTTAGTGGGAGACACACCAGGGCTTCTCTTGGGCTGAGTGGCAGGTGACATCTCACAATGAAGATTCTTGAGTGGTCTGAATTTCTGTCATCATAGCAGCAGCCAATAATCCATCCCTTACTGAAAGCCTACTCACCAGACCTTACATACACCAAGGAATGCACAATGGTGAAGGGGTGACTACAGAGTGGCTATTTATGCTGTACCCCCAAAGTAGCAGACAATGTTAATTGCATTTGCCTAAAAACACTCACAATTTGAAGATATTCTGAAGACTGACTGATTATTAACTCCATGATTGCAGAGTTAGAATACTACAGTGAGAGCCAAAATGACCTCAGGCTATCTTTAGTACTCTTAATAGCCATTTATCCTTCACCTGGGTATCTGAATTAACACCATCTTGCCTTGTAGATTAAACTTGGAATATATTGCTAAGCTTGACAAGGCTACCTTATATCAACTCAGAAGATGAGTTTGTCATCAACAAATTCCTAATTGAAAGAAAGGTGACAAGACGTGGTTCTTGGACGGGAAACAAACATAACAAAATCAAATAGTCAACAGTTCTGGGCCTCCATTATCCTCTCTCCAATTGAATTCTTATCTCCCAAAGCTCCCTGTGAAGAACACCCTGGAAGCACAATGAGTAGCTCTGAGGAGTCAGCCCTGGAAATACCAGGAAGGATTAAGTAGATGCCTGATGACCCTGCAGACAAGAATCTAGTGATTTAGAATATGTCGCTCCTTAGTCTAATCCCTGGCTGACAGATGGTGCTGGCCCTGTTGTTTCTCAGTTATGATTCAAGCAATGCATGCGGATAATGTCTTAGGCATCCTTAGTTTGGCCAGGAAAGCTGCAATCTGCCATGTTCAGGACTCTGAATTTCCCAGTCTTCAAAGAGAAAGCAAACTAGAAATTCTCAATTTCCTTCCTATTGGAAAAAAGAAGAAAATTCGTGGCAGGAGTTACTGAGAATAAAGAGAGCTTCCTTTTCCTGCCTCTTTGGAGGCCTTCTTAGAACTCTAGTGTCCTGGTGGTACGGAAGATTTCTTGACTTGCAGGTAATGAGACAGATGTAATTCCCACTGTGTTTTGCTTTTATCGTACTCGCTAGTCAAATGGACCTGTCATTTCCAAGAAAACTTGACTTAGTGCAAACCTTTCTGTTTTAATGCTTGCTCTCTGTCTCCTGCACTCAGAGACTGTCCC